GGACATATAACAGTGAGCTTACTCCTGCTAAACATATGCTTCTACCACAAAGTCCAGAATACAGTGTCTTAAAAGGGCAAAGGCAAAATATTGCAATTAAATTATTCTCTGTATGTTGCCTTGAGTTACAGCTTTAAAGTTCCCTGCATGTATGCTGAAAGACACCTTAACAGAAGGCAGATAATCACCCCACTATCTGGTTACGTAGCATTTGGGTTTACCAAACATAACTCAACTATACCTCCCTTCATGTTTGGCTGTAATGTCCCTGAAATTAATCCCTGATATAGCCACCGCATTCTCTGGAACACACAGCTACATCAAAAGCAAATAGTTTGTGTCTGCTTAGGCAAAGTAGCCAAGATACAAGTTATATCCATGTGGGAATTGAATTTGGATATGGTTGGCAACAGTTGGCTTGTGATGCTCTAAAACAGCTGTGCCCTGGAGATCATGTCCCCGTACAGGGTGCAGAACATGAATATGCATCAAGGGAAAGGAAGGGATCCTGCTGGGGTGAGACAGACAAGTGGTATTGCTGCTGAACATTTCATACGGTAAAATCACAGACTGGACAGCGAAAATCTTAGCAGGAGAAAGCTGAAAATAATTCAGGAGCAGTAGGTTCTTAAATCAGACCTGCAAGACTATTAAAGAACTTCTACCTTTATATTTTACATCGACTCTGGATACAAAGTCATACTGTAGCAAGTAGTAGTAAAAGTGATGCTGGTTATATTATTTAGAAGTGGTTCAGGAAGGCAAAGCTCCTGAATGCAAAGGTAGAAGGCAGAGGAGAAACAGTAATGTGCTGTCCTCCATCAGAGACAGCAGCAGCTACACTGTCTTCTTGAATTACTCCTAGTCCTGCCTCAGATCTGACCTCCTACACAGAAATCCAGAGGCAGACTCTGCACACAGTAACTAAGGTCTGGGCTGCTCAGCTAGCAGGCAGAGACAGGGTCATAACACAAAGTAGCACTGCTATAGATAATTTTATGAAAAACAATTAGACTCCAGGGCATAAAAATTGTGTTTTACTGCAGCAAACAGCAATTTAAAGTATGCAAGAGCAAGTCTCAACAAGTTTGCCCTCCTTAGGAGTTACTCTAACTCAACAAATGGGCAGCTTCCAATGGCACACCATAAAAATCTTTTTTTTTCCCTGTGACATGGAATTGAAAGGCAAAAGTTTAGATGGTCTAACCTGCTTCATGATAAGGAGGTATCTGTAATGATTGAATGATGTTCTAAATCCCTCAAATAAACACAGGAAATTATTGGCAGCTGGCAGGAGAGGAAAACGAAGGTTGGCAATTAGACTGCAGAAAAAAAAAAAAGCCAACACATACAGTTTTGTTCAGGCATAATTAGCTTGAACATATACATAGTACAGCATGCCTCTGCCCTAAACAAAGAGCTCTGCGTCATCTCTCCTCTCCCAGGATCTTGTTATACAATCTCTGCTACAGTCCCCTGCAAGCCAGCTTCCAACATCAGCCTACAGCTTTGATTCTGATTTTCAAAGTAATCGATGAATTGCATCCTAATTATATTACAGACCACATGTCAATCGATGAAAGAGTTGGGCTTCTAGGACAATGCAGGTCACTCGAGTGGAGCTGGGAGAAGGGGGCAGATTAAGCATTCTGGATTCAAGGGGATGGACCTGATGGACAAACTTCCAGGGGACATTAGGCAAACCCAGAATCTGAATACCTTTGGAAACACTACTAAGCCATGCCCTAAGCAAATGAGCTTCCCAGTTAGAGCACTGTGACCACCAATACAAAGGTGGGATGATGACCGTCCCCTCACCAGTACCAGCAATCTCCTCCCTCATCCCTTGCCCCAGCTGCCCAGCCCAGCCTGGCACTGGCCTCTCATCTTCTGCTCAGCAAAATGCCATTTCATTTACATTTCCAACAAGTCTTAGGCTGCCTCCAGTCAGCAAAGCATAGCTAACTTGGCAAAACTGCCAAGTTATCAACCTTCCCCGTTCACCCATAAACTAATTGAGTCAAAGCTCTTTTGGGGCAATTAGCGCTTCATTCTGCACGTCAAACTCCACCTCTCTGTCCTACAGAGCAGAATGAAGATCAAAAGACAGTTAAGAAAACATTCCACCAAGTACCTTTTATAGAAAGAAAAATTTTGAAAAAAATGTATTGCCAGAACTGTTCTAACCTATACCTCTGCTGCTCAGACATGAATTAAGACCGCTAGAAAGCAAACAGTCTTCTTTTCCAGGCCAAACCTAATACCTACCACAAAATCTAAAGACCTATTAGGAAAAAAATGCTATTCCTGTAACTCCCGTAACTTCTTTCTGTGGTTCAGAAGTGACAGTTTGAGACTCAGGAAACAATGTTTAAAATAAGAGTCACTGAGGGCAAATAGGCAGTAGACAGCCTACAAAATAACCTCCAGACAGGTGTGCAGAGGATGGCAGAAAGTGACCTGTACCACACCAGAGTATACAAAATGCTATCATATCCAAAATCTGGAGTTTATCCTACATGCATTATAAGAGCTGTCATGTAGACTTTTTATATCTGAAGACAGAACATATTAAACGTATGTCAAGCATTTGATTTTGCTAAAAGACTAACATTTTTTTGTGTATGGTATTTCGTTATTTTGCTTGTTTAAAAAGAAGATATTGTTTGCTCATCATTCACTATAGCAGCCACTGTGAAAGATGCACAGTTCTCCATGCAGGACAAAATCCAAGTATACTGAAAGAAATCATCCAAAGCAACTCAACTGAAAGAACAAGGACAGTACTACTCATTGCTAAGGGATCACTTGGCATCATTTAACCAGATGCCTATTGAAAACTAGTAATTAAGAAAGAGGTTTTACGAAATCAAACAATAATAAAAAAAAAAATACTGAAACTTTCATGTCTGTGAGAATACAAATCAGCTCAGTAGAACTAAGAGATGCAAAATTGCCGATTCAAAGGTTACTGAAGACAATGGAAACATCCCTAAAATGTAATTCCAATAGGTTTTAGACCATGGCTTAAAATGGTGCATTTTTTTCTCCGTAGTTCACAGATCATCCCAGCAGGATGTAGGTCACAGACTGAAGTATTTAAAGACAAACCTTGAACCAACAGGCTGAAGACACAAACCCTTTGATCAAAAAAATCTTGCTCCCACATATTGGTGATAATAGATATTTTTCTGTAATATAAATCAGCCTGCACATTAAATTATTTGTTACATCATAGTCAAGAACAAGTGTAAATCTTTAACTTGGTCTCAGAAGGGAAAACCCATCAAATGGAGCTTTTCTCTCCCTGCAGCACTGGGTGTCCTCCATTCTTTTACATGCATTTAAAAAGAAAGCAGCAATCACTAAGTTTCATCTTCCTCAAGGTGGTTGCTGTTCTTTAACTTCAGCAAACGGCATTTATTATGTTTGGCAACATTTCCTAGTCAATGAGGCTGCAAAGTACCTTAATCCCCATTCTACACAGAACTTTAGAGCAAAAGCCAAATTTAAACTTTAGATTGAAGAGCATGCAAAAATGTATTCTTTAATTTTGTTGCAGTGGGGAAAAGAAAGGAAATGTCACTGTTTTCTTTAAGGAAGTGAAACACTGAAGAAATTTTGCGAGGGGAAATTGAATAACACACACACAGATCGATTTTATACACGAGAGAGATATGTACTACAAACACAGTATAAGAAACCAAAAAATTTATTTTAACTTCTTTAGAACAGTGCAGAGATTGAATAAAATATATAGCTTCAGCGTGTAAAAAAATCCCCAAACTTAGTCTCAAGTTTGAAATAGGCACTTAGCAAGTCAAAATGAGCATTTGCAGGTAGAATTAGCTGGAAAATCCATGTCTTCTCATGTGCAATTGCTTAGCTTTCTAATACAGGTGTTCTCCGAAACACAAATATTCAGCAACTACAGAAGACCAGCAGAAGGTTCTTTGTCTATCTTCTCTTAGTTTTTTGCAACATAGACCCACACATACACAGTTATGGGAGTTGCCTTCAAATCAGACATATCACAAAGATCCTTCCCAGAGCTTTTCCAAATAACTGAAATACCAGAGAACCCACAAAAAGGCCCATGTTTTTCTATATTTAGCTAAGTCTCAAGGCCAGCAGCAGTTGGCACCAAGATTCCCTTGGTATCGGACAGCCGCAGCCTCTCCAGCTCTGTCTTAATCACTGCATAGATTAGAAGAGGTATGAGACATGCTTAGCAAAGGTAACAGTTTATGCAGTAACATGAACTTTTTTCTTTTCCTAGACAAGCATTTTAATAGATGAATTAAACCTTACAACACTGCATGCTGCTAAAAGAAACTTGAGATATCCACCATGGACTCCACTAAAACGAGCTTCTCTGAGAAATTCCTTTGCTTACAGGCTATAAAGAAAGTATATACCAACCTCCTTCACCCACCCAAGTGTTATGAACAGCTAATTCTGTCACAAAGCACTTCTCCACTCTCATTTTTCACATACTGCACTCTTCTCTTTCCTTATCTGAAGCAAGGGTCCACTTATCTATACACCTGTATTGTTGAAAAAAGTATTCTGGAGTTTGGCTATCAGTGCTGTGCTAATTGCCAACTGCACAAACAGGATTAAAAAAAAAACAACCCAGGACTTCACAGGGATGACCGTGCTGCTAAGACCCCTTTCAGGATCTGCATTTCAAATTATAACCATTGCTGTGTATCCAACGGGTATCTCACAAGTATCCTTTATGTAACAGGAGCAAATATTAACATATTTAGCACTGACAGGACATCTTTAATATTTCCAAATTTTCACATTAAACTTTACAGAGAGGGAAAACAGATGCCAAGCTAAGCAGAACAGAAAAAAAACCCCTTCCTCGTCAAAATGCAACTAAATTGAAGAAGACGCAGTCTCCATACCATTTGCAGCAAGACAATATTACACAAATCACCAGAAGAGACAGTTCACAGACATCAGTGTACTTCTATTCTCAGGTTACTTACTTTCCTCCCAAACAATTCAGAGCTGCTGCCTCAACTCCTCCCCAGGATCCCTCCTCCATGACTTCTTTCTGCAGTTTTGAGGCAACGTGAAAAATGCTGAAGATGCACACGCTACAAAGGTTATGCAAAAATATCCTGCTATGACTACAGCAACAGCACCATTTACCCACACTGCTGCTAAAAGAAGTTCCTGAGTTTAAGATAACCAAAAATATATTTGGACACGTTTCTGTCACTCCTAGTTAGCTGCAGTATCTAATTCATTATATGACTAATTTTATCTCTGAACTTTGCCAAAACACCTACATATAAGAATTAAGCGCTTTGAAAAGGAATTTTTGAATGATTTATGTATCCCCATTGAAAGTATCTTCAGACATATTTTACGTGAGCTGTATTTCAAGTCTTGCAAAAGACTTAAAGCCTTTACTAGTAAGTTACCACATATTAAAAAGCAGTGAACCAGCAAGAAGCTTAAAAGTACATACTGATGCAGACTGTAAGCATGAGGAAAAGGTCTCAAGTCTAGTTAGAAAACTGTGGGCTGAAAGGAAGCCATGTGATAACTGTAACATAAGCAGAGCAATTCATTGGCAAAAACCAAGGGTGGCAGCTGACCAAAGCTAGTTAGTGACACCAAGCTGATTAGTGTCTCATTTCCACTAACAAAAGTCACAGGAAGATAAATAACTTCCCACAGGACACATGACATTGCCGCACTTTGGTTAACAGGGTGCACAATCACTGTGGAGCTGAGATTCCTATTAAAGCAAAGCTTATTTGGTTTTTTTAAACACTATTCAGGCCCCACTGTCCCTCTTCTTACCCTGTGTATCCAACCTAATGTGCTGGCACTATTTCAAAGACTGAAGGGATGCCAAATTCACATTTCTCATCCCTGTCGATCCATAAAGCAGGGTTCACATGTTCATCATAGGATCACAGGATAATTCTTTGTACTTCTTTTTTTAAATAGAATATGTCAAAATCTATTACAAGCAGTGGCAGTCAATGGAACCTGCTTAGGAAAAAAAGGCTGATTTTATTCACGAGTAGGCACTGGAGCTATCTGGGAAGGCTAAATTATTGTACACTGACTAACAACTTCTTATGGAAATGGTTGAGAAGAAATTCTATTGCAGAATGGCTTCATGTCTGTAGTGTTTAGATGACACCACACCACCTGATGACCTAACTAAATCAAAATTCAGAAAAAACATTCAAAACCAAGGCTATGACAAACAAAGGTCAGAGCGAAATAAGAATCTGTCAGAATCATAAGCCTAAGAGATTGTGCAAGGAATACTGGACAACAAAGCCACTACTTTGCACACTTACAGACCAGCTATAAAAAGAGGTACATTACCATGACAGACCATATGCTTGAAGGGCCATATCATTACTGAGTCACTTTAACCCATCTCTGATCAAACCAAGAAATCCAAAGAAGTATTTAAATAAGGTTCTGAACAGCAAGCTGATAAAATAAAGTCTTCCTCGGTGAAGATTCACCAGAACAACTGCAACCAGTTCCTCATACTGACTATGGTGGTGCTACTTGATGGCACACAATGACTGCACAATTGGCATGGCTCAGGCAGCTCTGTGTGCATTCATGCAGTGCCAGTGAGAATCATATGCACTTTGATAGGACCACAACCTAAAACTCTGCACTCAAGTCAAAAAAAGTTTACCTCATCTGGAATCAGGGGCATCACCAACACCAACAAATCCCTCCATGAGCCCCGCAATCAGCTGCCACAGAAGGCTCTGGAGGGTCACTCTCTTCCCTCCAGTCTGTAGGCTTCAGCCAGCACTAAACAGCTGTGACATACTCCGTCTTCAGCAGGAGCTTCGATCTCCACCATGTCATATTATCAACGCTCCCCCAGTATACGAGGCTGTGGTACTCTGCATAGGACGTAGAAAGAAGCACCAAAACCCAAAGGAATAACACAAGGGAGTTCAGATTCCCCTCTACAGAGCCATAAACCCAAGAAAGCTAGGGAGAGACAGAAAAGGCTAGGGGGGAAGAACATGCTTGTCAGTACAGGTAGGCAAGACAGCATATCTTTATACATACACCCTGAGGATATGAAACAATACTTAATTACTGTGAAAGTAAATTAAAAAATAGAAGGCAGTTATAGTTCAAACAGAAACAGAACTAACTACCATATATTAAGTGATGTTACTAGATATTTATCAGTTCTAAAATAGACTCAGCTAACTTCCAGCAGCATGGTTCTGTGCTGCAGTCGGAATAGCAGTACTTAAGAGATCACAGCTTGCCAGCTACTGATAAGACTGTGACGGGGAGCTGAGTATCTTCAAGCGTGTTGTTTGCACACATCCTACAGGCAGTCTCATGTTCAAATGGCAGGCGCTTTGAGTTGACCTTCCTTTATCCACCACGGCAGTAGCTTCTACAAGTCACACTTACCAGCCCATGGCCAAAGCTAGCTACTGGAAAAAGTACTCCACGAGGTCTCCACCTCAACCTGCTGAGATGGGTGAAAAACACCTGTTACTTTCATACACATGAACTACATGTTAAGTAACCTGAGAGTAAAACAGATCTTTTTTACAAAATGAAGTCAAGGCCCTGCACAGCCTTTAGGGCTAGAGCCTCAAACTGCCTGTGATAACAGACAAGTTGGGAAAAGCACCTACTTTCACCATTCCAAAATGCCCACACTAGAACTGGAAAGAACTGACACAATGGATGTGAAGCCTGTGTAAGCTACTTGGTACATGAAATCTAACACTCTTTTGAAAACTATGCAACTAACAAAAAAAAAAAAAAGAATGGTACATATTGGAGATTGAAGCACAGATTCACAGAGAGCTGAACAAGGTGACAAGGCAGGAACTGGACCTTGATCTCCTGACAGTTGAGTATCACTCAGCAAAGTCACCCTTTTCTCTTCATTAAGCACAGGCCTGAGCAGTGCTGGCTCCCTTCAGGGAATACTGTGCATCCAATGACATTTGCATTCTGAAAAGTTTGACTGTACGGGCAAGGAAGAACAGGTCAGGTGTTTACTGATTTTTCTTTTGTTGCCTAGAGTCACGCATGATTCACAGATAGCAAGTGAGATTCACCAGCTGAGCCCATGGGAAGATCCTCTTCCTAAAGGTTACAGAACTAAACATAACCAAGGCAGAAAAAAGAAAGAGATCCCCACAAGGAGCTAAGACAACCTTTTACCAGAACTACTCTACTCTCCAAATCTAAGGGTCCTTCATCTTCCCACTAGAAACGCTCACCGTATTTTTAAGTCAATTAACACCTAAAAGTCACAGCAAAACACGGAGACAGGCTGAGCACGGGTATTAGCTGCCTGATTAAAGAATGTACTTCTCACCACCCGAAGTCCCCTCCTACTTACGTGATCCTCTTCTGTAAACGGAATAAATTAACCACTAACAAAAAGCAGCTCTGCCTAGCAGGAGCAGTTGTGAAAGCCGCACAGACACAATACACATGCTGTAGTATTCAAGGGCCCGGTCTGAAGGAGAGAGACCTAGCTGGGCAGTCGCATTTTTTAAGATGACATAAGCAAGAAAAAGCAGTCACCCGAGATCCGGCTAATGCCACCCGTTTGTTTCGCCAGCGGAGCACTGAAAACAGTTGAGCCTATCTCTACCCACGTACTCTGGCCGGCTCCGGAGATGCACTTTGCGGGAGCAACGATAACGCGCCCGGCCCCCCGCGCCGGCCCCGCTCCCCGCCGCGCCCCGGGCTATCAACCAGTGGCTGCGGCGCGGAGGGAGTCCCCGGGGCCGACCTCCGAGCGGGCCCGGCC